GGGAAAAAAAAAAAAAAAAAAAAAAAAACTAAACTAAACTAAAGCTGGTTAGAAAAATTGCTAGCATCAAAAATGTGATAAGTAGTCTTTTTGTCATAAACATCTCAGTTTATTTTTTTAATAGCAACCTGATATGAATGTGGGTTTCTAATCGAAATGCTTAGCCAGTAAAGGATTTTAAAGAGGGAGCCTTTTGAAAAGATTACTATGCCTAGGGTTTGGGTAAGAGAGGAGAGGCAGTGAAGCAGTTACTGTACTCATGTAGGTGAGAGATAATTCTGTCTTTGGTGAAAAGTGCAGGGGCTCAGCAGAGCTCAGAATCTACTTAGGTGGAATATTAAACACTGCTTGTGGTGGATTGAGCACTGCAAATAAGGTGAGAAGGGATTTTCAGGGTGAATCCTTAGTTATTACTTACACAGCACAGCGGGAGGGGCGACCTTTTCTTCCCGTCCCTTCCTTTCCCTTCCTTCCTTTCTCCCCGCTTCTTTCTTCTTTCCTTTCTTATTTTTTAATTTTTTGTATGTGTGTGTGTGCGTATGGCACTGGGGATTTAAACCAGGGCCTTAACAATGAGCTACATCTATATATTTTTTAAATTTTGACAGTAGTTCTCACTAGTTACTGAGTTGCCCAAGATGGGCACCAACTTACGAGTCTCCTGCCTTAGCCTCCAAGAGTGCTTGGGATTACAGATATGCACCATGATGCCCACCATGGAGGGATGGTTTTCAGCAAGAAATCAGAGAAACTACTTAGGAACCCTCTTGAAGAAGGGCTGGAAGACCTTATGATTTTGGGGTGGACATTCTCTATATAAGCTTTAAGAAAAGGTTTACAGAGCACGGGAGATTAAGATGGGCTCAAAACACAAATCTGAAAGTCACTGCTATTTTTGATGGCAAATAAAGTCATAGAGGTCATATCACTGAAAGGACAAAAAACTAGACAGAAATCTCTGGCATTTAATGTTGGGAGTAAAAAGAATGAAACGACATAGTTTATTTAAAGAAGAGAGAAGAAGAAAACCAGAACAGTGTGATGTTGCTACTGAGTGGAACTGAAGGAGCCATATAAAAATGGAAATTAAAGGTGTAGGGAAGGTGGGATGGGTAGGGGAAGGGTAATAAGGGAAAAGAAAAAAATGTGAGATAATGAAAAGATGGAAATAAAGTGTTTGTAGATGGGGAGGGGAGGAGGGGTGAAGGGAGGGCAGGGGTAAGGGGAAAAAATGAGAATCAAGACTTGTCATGTAGAGGTGCAAGATCCCAACAATGAATGTAACTGTACTGTATCCCTAAAATGTACCAATAAACTCAATTAAAGCTGAAAAAAAAATAAAGGCCAACAAATAAGAGAAAAAACAAGAGGGTTCAGAAAATTATTCCCAGGAGAATATTTTGTGTCTGTGATCATTTTTCACTACCCTCACCTTTTACAAAAACACTATTCATTTAGTAGTTCAAAGTTTTATAAACTATAGTACACATGTACACTCACATGACCATCTCCATAATCAGGAGACACAATAATTATGTAGCCCCTCTGAAAAAAACTCTTGCATGCTATAACTTTATAATCACAGTCTACCCCAAACTCAACCCTGGAAACAATGATCTCCTACCACCACAGTTTTGTCTTTTCAAGAATACCATATATGTGAAATCCTATAGTATGCAGCTTTTTCAAAGTTGATCCTTTTATTTATAATAAATGTTTTGAGAATCATGGAAGGTTTTATTTTGCTCACATTGTTTGCTTTCCCAAAGATTTCAATTTATTTTTAACTGAAATACAAAACTATAAAAATGATATTTCAATACATATGTCCATTGTGTAATAAGAAAATCATATAAAAGGTATCTAAATCCATAAGTGATTACCAGTTTATTATGGAAAAACACTCAGAATAGTGTCTTCTAGCTTTTGGAAAGGCACAGTGTGTCACGTCTGACCATACATGCCAGCTGTGCAATAGCAGAATAGAACTTGTTACTCTTACCTGACTACAACTTGTTGTTCAACTGCTCTTCTCCATCTCTCCTTTTCCCTAGTCTTACCAGCTTTGGTGATGAGTAATCTACCCTCAATTTCTCTGAGGTCAACTTTTCAGCTTCCACACATGTATGACATTGTGTGATACTGCACTTGTGTTTATGTGTTTGGCTTATGATATGTAGCATATCACTCTCTGGTTCTATCAACCTTCCTGCCAATCACAAGACTTCCTTCTCTTTACAGGTGGAAAATATTTCATCATGTGTTCATCCACTTTATTCATCCAGTCATCAGCTGAAGGACACCTAGGTTGTTTTTATTTATTGGTTATTATGAACAGTACAACACCCAACATAGCTGTGCAGGTGTCTCTTTGAGATACTGAATTCATTTCTTTGGAACATATACCCAGCTGGGGATTGCTCGATTATGTGGTAGTTCTATTTGGGGGAACCTCCATACTGTTTCCCATAATGCTCTACTGGGTTACATTCTCACCAGCAGTGTCCAGGGGCTTCATTCCTTCCACCTCCTTATCAGCTCTGGCTATTTTTGTGTTTCTGATGAAAATAATTCTTCTTGGGGTGAAGCAATATGTCACCAAGGTTTGGGTTAACATTCTCTAATTATTAGTGATTAGGAGCATTTTCTATTTCATATGCTTGTTTACCTTTCTATACCTTCCTTAGACAACTGTTAGGTCTTCTGTGTACTTTTTAGAAGAATGTGTATTCACATATACAGAGATAAAGATTATATATACATGGCAGACATATACGTTCATGATGCTGATGATATGTTCCTTGTATATTCTGGATATTAATCCTTTGTCAGATATGCAGTTTCTTTTATCACTAAATAGTATAATTTCTTTACTATTGCATCACTGTTTGCTTATACTGTGAGAAAACAACTGATTCTTTTTGGGCTTTTATTCATTATAAATAGAACTGTTAAAACATTAATCTGGAGGCATTTATATGAATGAAAAAATGTATTTCTCTGGAGCACTATTGGGAGACACATTGCAGTGTCAGATGGCGAGTGTATGGCTAATTACATAAGAAGTTGCAAAACTTTTCCAGCATGATTGTACTATTTTGCTCACCAAGAAAACAAGTATATAAATTCTGCTTTTTCCACATCCTTATCCATACTTTGTAGGAGCAACACAGGTAAAATTCATTTCTTCTTAAGTGTATAGTAGTGTATTTTCATGTATATATGTTACACTTCTTTAATAACTAATGATGCTGAATAATTTTATCTACCTTGTCATTCCTATGTTCCCTTTGGTGAAATGTCTGTGCAATTATTTTACCTTTGTAATTGGAATTTTATTTTCTTACATTTGAATTTTTATATACTCAGAATTTAATTCATTAGAACGTATGTGATTTGCAAATATTGTGTCTCAGTGTGGAGCTTTGCTTTTCACTTTTGTGAAAGTATTCATAAAAGAAAAAATTTAAAGTTTGTAATGTCCAATTCATCCTTGTGTAAGAAAGAGACATACACAACACACACACGAGAGAGAGAGAGAGAGAGAGAGAGAGAAGCTTTAGTGTATGTTTTAAAACATTTTGTCTAATTTAAGGTCAAGAAGATTTTACCTTATGGTTATTTATATAATTTTTATACTTATATCTAATTTATTTTCGCTTTTATCTCCATGTAAGGTTTAAATCAAGGTGTTTTTGTTATTTATTTATTTATTTATTTATTTATTGATTGATTGATTGATTGATTGATTGGTACTGGGGATTGAACTCGGGTCCTTGAGCTTGCAAGGCAGGCCACCGAACCGCTGAGCTAAATCCCCAATGTTTTTTTATTTTGATTTATGGCATATGGATGGCCAAATGTGACCCAGAGTATTAAAATTCCTCTTGTTCTCTCCTAAAACCATGACAATAATGTACCAATTTCATTGCAAAATGTTGAAAACTGATTTCAGACCTTAATTTTTTTCTGATAAAATTGTGTTACATAATATCTAATGTATAATATCTAAGATTTAAATGTATTTTAAAGTATTAATTTTTAAAAAGCAAATCTCAAAAATGCTACATGAAATAAGAATTAAAGGCTATGTACTTCATGGCTACATTCAAAATTAATTCTATAAAAGGAAAATTCCTACAGCTTGAATACAAGTCACTATTCCAGAAATTAATGGTGGAAGGAGGATTTGGCTTCTATAAGAAGCAGAAGAGAATTTGCAGGGTTATTGTAGTCATGAAGCCATAGTGCAACTTGATAGTGTTGGTGGTCATAACTCTATGTATTGGTTAAGCAGAGTAGCAAAGTAAATTTTAATATATGTAAATTAAAATATATTTTTAAATAATAAAATAAGCACCCCTGTACTCCTTGAAATATACAAAATAAACTTTCTAGTGTATTAGAAGACTCTCCAAATTCCTCTATGTCCCAGTGTTAAACACTACCATCAATGTCACACAGTTTAAACCTAAGTCCCCAGACTGTTAATTCTTTTCTTCACTGTTAGTTTTCATGTGCATATATCCCTACTGAGCATAGGGTTTGTATTTGTATGCCCTTGAATTTTACACAATTACGAATATATGTGTACTATAACTCAATTTTGCTCACTGTAGTTTGTGAATTTCATCCAGTTTTTTGGCTAGATGGAGCCTACGCATTCTGACCAGTGATGGTGGTATGTCAGCTTCATTGTACCAAGAAACGCCTAGCAAACTGGTAAAGCAGACACCTGGGTGAGTGGAGACAGGTCTAGGGACCCTTGCCTGTTTCTCTTCAGCCCTATTCTTGGCTGTTTCCCAGATGCCATCAGCTAAGAATTACAAGAATTTGTCCTTCCACCATGAGGCAACCATGTACGGAGTCTCCTGGAATTGTGAGCTAAATGAAACCTCTCCTTTAAATTGTGAGTGTCAGGGGGTGGAGATTTAGCTCAGTGGTTCTGCCATCTGCCTTGCAAGCACAAGGACCTGAGTTCGATCCCCACTACCAATAAAAGAAAAGAAAAGAAAAAGAAAAAACATTTAGAAAGAAAGAAAAATTGTGAGTGTCAGGAGTTGTGTCTCAGATACTGGAAAGCTGACTAATATGCTAATTTCTTTCACTGCTTATTTTTTTCATTGTATATTATTCTGGCTGCCATGAATTATTTATCCATCACTCATTGTTTAGACATTAGTTTATTGGGGTTTTTTGTCTAATTAAACTTTTTCTAGTATAGATTATAGACACACACATAATTCACCTAATAATGTATAATATATATAATTATTAACCTTCTAGATAACACTTTACTTACACGATTTCATCATTTTCCAAATAGCTGGTATGATGGAATCTTTCCTGTTGTGAAAACAAACTGAAAAAATACATACCAGACTGTGAATAGTGCTCCCTTGTGGGAAATGTGATTATGGGAGAAGGGTGAGCAGAATCCATGCATTTTATACATCTGTAATTCTGTGCTTTTAAAATGTATTTCAAATGACCTTGAACTGCCTTTGAAACAAATAACAAAAGAAGACAAAATGTGTTGAAGAAACATTGATAGTAATCATAATCAGTTATATTTAAAAGCCTGTTCATCAGTTGCAAGTACTCTTTGCAAATTGAACCATTCAAAGTACACAACAAGATCTGGGCCCTGTTAATTTACATAAATTGATAAACATATGCATTATTTTTTTAGGTAAGCAGCATAAACTACACAGTGAATACTTCATAACCAGCAGCCTTCCAAATACTAGATGTTACATAAATAGAAACATATACTAGTGAAAAATTCTTAAGCAAACTAATAAAATTATGTATTAGGATGTTATGATAACTTCATCTGCTTGGGGAATAAGCCACAGTCTCTCATGATTATGTAACACATTGTTCTGTCATCCTTACAGGCTCGTACCACATTACACTTCATTGATATAGGTTTTTGAGAGAAGATTGACTTTAAAATTCTACAGATCTAGTTTAAATTTTGATTCTGTTGCATATAACTTATTTAAAAGTGAATGATTAGTCTTTGAGCTGAAATAGATTTTTCTGAAATACTAATTTTGTGATATGAGGTATATAATAATATAATAAATATATAGTTTAATAGAAGACTTTTAGTAAAAAGAACAAGTCTATGCCAATGTGAGAAGTTATAAGTTAAAATAAACATATGCCTGATTATTTTAATAATTTTCTAAAAGTCATTTCTTCTCTCATGGCCTCCATACTCTGCAATACAGAAGCCAGACTTACTGCTCTAAATTGTGGTATTTATTGTTCATATCATTAACGATGGGGTTATGCTTGGTGCCTCACTGCAGCTGAGATCCTGAATGAGGGAAAAGGAAAATGTTTTGGAGAACAGAATAAGAAAACTGAGAATATTGCAGCCTTGAATCCAGTATTATAGTAAATTTGCACATTTTTCTTTGCTTATTATATGTATGTAATTCTATAAACTAACCATATTATTTTTATCTCTTCACATTTTTATTTCATGTAAAAGTTGTGGAAGAATAATATTGAGTCTTGGTAGGAAACTTTTCCAATTGTGTGATGAAATGTGGTAACAATGACTGTACATCGTGGTATTTGGAGAAACGGTAGAAACAAAATCCGTGGAAAATCAGGCAGTTGTATTTCGCTAGTTGGAAAGGTGGAGTTGTTCCACCGTCCTGCAGAGTTCAAAAGAGCAAAGCAGAGCCGTGTGGGGTCACTTGTCAGAGTAGGGCCTTTCCCCTCAGCAGCCTAGGTCCTCCCAGCCCCTAATGCAGCTTCCTGTACCTGTATCATAATAACGGAGAAGGGAAGATTTTCTCTTCTGCTGCTAATAAAACTACACATTTCGACAGCAAAGGACATTGCAGTGCTACCACAAGACCCCCTTTTAGTCACATTGCCCTTCCTGTACTTTTCTTCTGCTCCCGTTTCTTGTTTTAAAGCACCAGGGGATGTGGACATCCAGACTGCAAGGCCTCACCGGCGCCAAGCCCAGCCCAGCCAACTGTGTCCACCTCACAGGGTCCCACTCCTGCTGACAACAGAGCTCAGAGCACCTTCAGGCTGGACACAGCCCCGTGTTCCCCTCAAGTGCTCTGCCGCTGGCCGGGGCCCATTACGTGCACTCTGCCAGTCGTTTCGGGCTGCTGAGTCCTACACGCCTTACCCTTATAGCATGTCAATCTAAGCCCACAGCTACTCCAGAGGGGTTTCCATCTTGCCAATCTGGTGGCCCCTGGCTCCCTTTATTTCCATACACTATGAAGAGTATTGCCTACCCCCTTATAGCTCAGGAGAAATCCCACTCCGAACAAAAGCCAGGGCCTCCTCCTTCACAGCGGGCTGCAACTCGACCTTCTCCAGTGAGGTTTGCATCAGAATTTTCGGGTGAGAACTCTTCCAAATTTGTTGCCTGATTGTGCTTCTTCATTTTTATTGCATTCTTTACAGTTTTCTTTGCCCTTTATCTGTGCTCCTTAGTCTTAATTAAAAACTTCTTGTATTAAACTTTTCTCTTTCAAAATGTGGCTTTTAACACCTAATGCATCTCTGCTGTTACAGATCAACTGTTCAACATGCTCAATACAATGGTCTCTTGCAATAAGTAGCCCAGGAAAGCAGAAAATTGTATGACAAAGGAAAAGTGATCAAGGCAGGTGTAATGGAAGCTCATGAGGTAAGTGTTGAAAGTGCTGGTGGAAAAAATAGTTCCAGTGAAATCCAGTGAGGTCCAGTCTTTGTTATTTTTTTCAGTCATTTCATTATCAGGTCCTGACAACTCTTTATCCAACTAATATTCTGAATGTTTTTTTCTTTTTATCTCTGCTGATACTGTCTCAAATTATGGAGCTATCATTTTTAACTTACACACCAAACTTCTTGCACTCCTTCAAATTGCTCTTTACATAGGAAATCAGTTTATTCCTAACATATTTAAAACATTAAAATATTTTTTATAGAAATTATGATTTCCTGGCATTTTATTTTTGATGGTTGTTACTTGATTTGTGACTTTTATTGTCTTATAAAATTGGTACTTACAGAGTAAAAGGAGAAGACGGCACATAGGGGAAAAATTTCTGAGCAAAGCTCAATACCATATTATTATATGAGGGAATAAAAAATGCATGACAGATTAAGTAAGATGAATTATTACAGGAGTTTCCAATATTAGGAGATGTTTAAAATAGGAATTTAAAAATAGATAAAATGTCAAAAGGTAACCAATCCAGGTAGAAAAGATGAGATAAGCCATAGGCTTGTTCAGAGTACCCTTCATATTGGGAATGATATCCTGAGATGAGCAGAGTGTAGGCTACATCCAGAGTGAAATGTATAGGTTTCAATAAAGACCAGAGAGGAAAGCGTATAGCAGCTCCAGGAGTCATCTGTTACTTTTAGTTATGTACAATTTCTGAATCCTTTCCAGTGGGTGGGGGGGCACTAATGTATACAGCAAAGCCCATATCCACATCCAACTTTACAAGCAGAGATTATGAGATGATTGTTTTTTGTTTATCTGGCACATAGCCTTCAGACAACTCCAGAACCACAAGTCAGAGAAGTCTTTCTTCACTTCATAGTTTGCCTGTGTCAGGTATTTTGTTTTAGCGACTGTAAGCTGACTAATACATGCGCCCTTAACAACATTCATTTTATCAGCACTGGTGATAAAAAACAATAACTACTGGTATCTGTGATGAGCACAGTTAGTAGTATAATATTAAATGTTTTCCCACAAAATGCATGACATCTAGATATGATTCTCAAGTCTTGACATAGACTGTAAGCTTTCCAACACCTTTCTGATTAAACCCATTCCTACAGACATCAAGATTTTTGTTTCTATCTCTCATTCCCAAGAAGATTGGTTGGCTAAAAGATTTAAATTGTATGCAGTTGAATCAACAATTTAAATCATTTTAACTGAAAATATTGTGATTTGAGATATGAGTTGGAAATATTAATTAGAAGTAATGTGTAATCACCATGGAAGTTAGAAAAGATTGGGGGCAGTGAAAACAAAAAAAAAAGAAAGACAGTGTGTACAGACATATATGAATAGACAGTGAATCTTACTCATCAGCCATAAAATGCAAATTACAACAACACTAAGAAAACAGATTGGCAAATATTACAGAGTGATAACAAGAGGGCTAGGAGAGTATTGGGAAATAGCACCCTCATACATTGTTTAAAAAAATACTTTGCTTCAGCTACTTCTGAGATAATTTAGAAATCTATTTTCTGCATGCTGGCTTTCTTGAACAATGCACACAGAACTATGGTATAGATATAATGAGATATTTGTAGTAAAGAGAACTTCAGAATTTCATTATAATTTATTGTGAGTAAAAATTATTTGACAATCAAAAAATAGGAAATATGAAGAACCAAGATGAACAGAAAACCGCTTTGAATAGAGAAATGAGGGAATTTGTTGCAAAAGATAATTTCAAGATGTAATTCAGAGAGAGCTGATTTGAAAATGATTGGATGTAGAAAGTAAAAATATAAATAAAATGCTATTTATGCAGATAAAGACTAGGTGATTGTGAAAATAGTGCTGTCATTAACCAAACAAGAAATTCTATAAAAATTTCAATGAAAAAGTAATTCAGGACAGAAGTTTTAATTAATAAAATGCATATTTTCAAAAACATGCTGCATTTGAGGAAACAATTAGTAGTCAGCTAGATAATCTCAATGGACAAGTATACATTATTTCTATATCAGTCAAGGGATATCTAGGTTCATATTTAGAAAAAAAAGCAGTGGCCATAACTGTGAGACTTCCAAGAAAAACAAACTAATAGAAATGAAAAGAAGCACAGCCTCGTACCTTGGGAAACAACTATGTCTGCCACAGTGGAGAACCTGAAAGAGTAAAGTATAAAAAGCAAGGGCAGGCTGTATACAAAGAGAAGCAGAATAACACATGTGCATTGGAAATAAGCAATGATACGGTTATGAGGACAGTCAACTTGTGTGGACAACAGAGACTGTGAAAGCCTCCAAATGAGAAAGGACGGCATGGTGTTGTGGATAGATGGTCAGTTTTAAGTTAAGCTATAGTAATTATTTGCTTACAAATGGTTCCAGTGCATGACTCTGTGTAACTGGTGTGAAAAACTACACTTTTGAGAAGTTAGTCACAAAAGAAGAAAGGTAATTCATGGGATTGATAGAGCTTTAAAATAAACTCTCCAGCAGCTGTGTCATCTCTTGTGTAGTATCGTATGTTGATCTATGTTAGGGCTTGTGTCTAGATATTCACCCAAAGCCTCATGAGGTCATAGTTGGGGCTTTTCAGAGTTACCTGGGATTAAGTGTACCCCACCCTGGGTGTGGGAGGCATTAATTAATAGGTTTACAGCCTGGATAGAAAATAAAGGGACAGAAAGAAGCTCCTGCTGCTCCTGCTGCTGCTTTAATATTTCCCTACCTCCTGCCTGCCCTGCCTACCATGGACTGTTTCTCCTCTGCGATGCTGCTCTACCCGCCACCCTGCCTTGGAATCAACTGACTATGGACTGAAACCTCTAGAAACTGTGAGCCAAAATAAACTTTTCCTCCTTTCACTTTGGGTGTCAGGTATTTTGTCTCAGCATTGAAAAAGGTAAATAAGACAATCTATATTAGCAATAAACAACAATATAGGAAGCCAACATTCTTTAGTCATTGTTATAGGTTGATATCACTGTTTTTATTAGTTTATTTGTTTAACTGAATCTCTGCACTCTAAAATTCAAAATCTGTGTGTGCTGGAGAGGGGTCCTGACTGAGAAAGTGTCAATGCTTCTTCATTTGTGGGAAAGACCAGAGAGACCACGCTGGTAATGGGTGGAGTACTCAATAGGCGTTCTTGGCAATCATTAGCTCTAGAACATAAATACAGTGTCTCTCTTTGTAATACGTGAATCCATATTAAAGCTGTAGTTTTATCTTCTAACTTGGTCTCAGCTGTGCTGCAAGGAACTACAAAATGTTCTGTTTTGCCCTTTGGTTTAAAAAACTAGAGGAGGAGAAGTACTCTGTCAAATTCTGTGTGCTTAGCATCCTCCAGAGTTTAATCTCATGGCTCTTGTTCCTTCTAATCAAGTAACCCAGCAGTAGTTAACATCCAAAGTGTCCCCCAAAGGGATAGGTCTCTTAGAAACCTTGATTGGGAGGCAGGAGCCTAAATGCCTCACCGTTAGATAAAAAGTCCTTTCTCTCCTGTTTTGGAATTTTTATTTTATTTATATTCTTGGTGGGTACATTCCAGAATAATAAAATCTGAGAACTTGTACATGTTTATTGAGAATTAAGGGACTCATAGGAACAAGACATGAATAAGAAAGGCTGAACATAGGATGACAGCAAAAGTTTTTTTCTTTCAAGTGGAAAGATTTTTTTTGTAATTTTTATTTCAAATGGGTAGGATAATATTTTTAACCATTTTAAGACATTGGGAAATAGTCACCTCACTATTGGAGTTACAATATATATGGTTAGTACTTTACGCTAAGATTTATTCAGAGGGTGTTAACATATCCCTAATGTAATTATCACCTATAGAGTTGATAGAGGTGGTCAACTCCATCAAACAAGTGGACGGGTCCTTGGAAAAAGCAATCTACCTGATCAGTTACTTATAGTTCAATAAATCAAACAACTGGTTAGTTGCCTGACATTTTTAATTTTTGATGTGTCCTTCTGACTTTATGTAGACATAACCATTTTCAGTAGCATTTTCTACATACTCAACAAAGCAGGTTTATATTTTATATTTTCTGATCTGCTCTCTCCCCCCAAAAATACACTAATAGTCAAATAGGATTAAAATAAAAGTATTTTATTTTTTAAGCATTTCATCAAAATTTCATTTCATTTAAACTCTTTAAATATAAGAAATAGCTATATAAAATGCCATCTTTATGAATATTCAAATTAATTCAGATTAAGCTTTTCCCATTAGGGCAAGTGAAACAAAATGCTGACTATACCATAAGAAATGCTATAAAAAAACTACTTTTCTGGGGATGCCATATGTAAAGAGTGAATCTTAACAAGCACGGGCAACCAGCATTTTTTTCCTGTCGAAGTGATACACTTTTATATCTATATTATTTTTGTGTAATCCTCAAAATGACTGCAGCAAGAAAGCTTTGAATGCTAATTTACCAGAGACAGGAATACACATTTATATCCGTGATGCCCGAAAAGTACATTTTTCCCCTACACAGACACATTATAATGATGTCAAGGTCCTGAAAAAAGAGCATGACATTAACAAGATGGAAGGCGAACTTAATGGAAGTTCCATTGATAAAATGCCATCCTCACAGAGCTAGTAATTGTTCTTCAGCTATTACGCCCTTACCAAAGAAGCAATAGATCAGTAAGCCTGCTCATCTAGGCATAACTCTAAAAGATCCTGAGACACTGTAAGTTGTATATCACTGAATTGTGGAACATTAAAAGCAACTAACTTATTCATTAATTATTGTGTCTTACTGACTAGAGTCAAGAATTATGACAGACAATTTAATCGCTAAAAATCTCATGCACAGTTACTTGAAAATGCTGTTTTCTTTTAAAATGAAATATACCCTTAGGAAGAAAGTCACAGATTCGACTCCCCTTTGCACAAATTAATAACTGTAGAGCATAAGATTGTGAAGTAAGTTTCTA